TTCCAAGTGACTTGACAAATGATAATTTAGTTGAAAGTAAGCCAGTTACTATAAGAACAAAATGATGCTTTACCCCAACAAAAAAATGTATATTTGTAGTAAAGAGACATTGCCTTTAAGCTTGTTTTTTTTAGAAGTTGCACACGTGTGCACATGCACACGCACACACATACGTGCTTCAAAAGTTTTCAGGCAGGTTATTTTGTTTTTATGTTTTTCCTCTTCAACAAGTAATTCTTCTCCTTTTTGTTTATAATGAGGGATAAATGTAAGTGTCCAAATAGGAAGTTTGTTGGAATATATAACACTCCAACAGCAGATTAGATGGGAAAAGTATAGAGTCTCAAAATTATCAAACCTAGAAAAGATGCTGACTAGCTGTTTATATTTTAAGCAAAAAAAAAGAAAGAAAGGAAAATAAAAATGTCTAACCAGATAATTATGCTGACAAATTTGATTTAAGCTGGGTGTCTAGACCTGGGGACTCATAATTTCTGTAAGGAAAACATCCATAAGTGTGTTTAGAGATTAGCATACAATAACATCATAAGCTAGCAATGTACACATACACACACATAGAAAACAACAACACAAAACACGGTAGCCAGCACTAGGAGGAGGGCCCAATAGGATGATGAGAGCCTAGAACAGAATCTGCTCTGCTTGCTTCTCTTACATAGTATTGGAGAATGCTAGTCTCTCACACAGCTACTTAGAATAATTCACTTACTTGAGTGATTATAGTGAAATTGATAAATTTGATGCATTTAAAAAAACTCACAAAATAGTTCCCTGACGGAGTTGTGAAAACAGTTATTACAGCTTTCTCATGTGACATTAGATCTCTGACACTTGTGCTCAGTGAAGCACAGCATGGTGGGAGAAGAAACAACATTCAGGAATGAATAGCCGTCAAATGTGGAAGGAATGGTGGTAAATGGAAGATACTTACTTTGCCACACTCCCAGAGAGAAATGAAGCACTCTCCCTGTCCTGGGAAAGTGTTTTGCAGCACATGGCTTCCATATGGGAGTAATTTCCATCTCCTAATTAAAATCAGAGTTATAAATAAAAGTAGAGGAAGGAAGTCAGCCAGCCTGACCAGGGTATGATACCAAAAAGCCAGGGTAAATGGGAAGCCTTTGAAGGATGGGAAATGAAGGTAGTTGGGTTTGGAAGGAAGTGGTTTAATAGGCCTTGTTTTGTCTTAGTTGTTTAAGAATCATTATAGGAGTGTTACCTGAGACTCATTAGGGGTTTAGTTCTGACATGTTTATATATAGAGAGAAGACCCCCATGAATTGGCAGTACTCCTGTTGTAAGTTAGGAAAATTTACCTTTAACCTCTTAAGATATATTGCTTGTGTTCTAGAAACTTCCTTGTGTGACTCTTGGACAATAAGATTTTAAGTGCTACAAGGCTTAACATTTCCAACTGAGAACTATGAAATGAAAAGAAAGGAGGAGGAGGCATAGCTTTGGATTTCTGTGCCTTACTGGGCACTGGTAATTGCAACCAAAACAGAAAAAAAGGTCAAAGAAAACAATTTCACTGATGGAATTTTAGTTCTTTTGCTGTGTTTGTCCTGGTTTCATTAGGGATTTTATTCTGGTTTCCGCAGACCAGTTTATCTTAATCCTGCTGAAGACACACGACAAATAGTTCCATTTTAATCAGCGGTAGGGGAGAGAATGATCTAGTTGAATTCTCTATGCTTTGAGTAACTACTCATACCTTAATGCACATAAAAATACACAAAAACAGAACATAAGGACACAGTATGCCTACTGGTGTAATAAAAATAGTAAATTCAGATTTTCTCAAAGTGCATTTGAGATTGACATTACTGTCTTGAAGTTGAATAAACACAATTTACATTTGTTATTTTAACTGAGTTCCCAGAGACATGAGACATTTGAAAAACAAGATTACTTGGTAGCCGGGTGTAGGTGGCACACGCCTTTAATCCCAGCACTTTGGAGGCAGAGGCAGGTGGATCTCTGTGAGTTGGAGGCCAGCCTGGTCTACAGAGTGAGTTCCAGGACAGAATGGATTATGTTGCAATGCTAGAAGAAGGAAGAAAGAAAATGAGACAGTCATTTACTCAGGGAAAAGCTACTGAGTATACTTGAGGGTGAGGATAGAGCAAGTTAGCCAGTAGCTCCCCACTAACTGCCCATACCTCTAGTTGCCCTTCTGCATCCCAGCCATCCTCTCCTCTCTGCAGCCCTAGTCTCTGAATTCAGAAGGGAAATTTACCAGTTGCAGCATGGAGAAGGATATTCATTTTCTGTTGGTGAACTTCAAGCCTTGAATAGACTTAAACCCCAGCCAAGCTTCCCAACAAGGTTCTCTGATGAGTGAATACAACCCAAAGAACATGAACACTTTGCTAATGACTGGAGTAGAGCAATACTAAACAATACTCCTGCCTCCCAGCTCACGATGTCCGAGTTGTGGGAGCATGCTAGTGAAAATTAAGCCAAGGCCTATGGAATCTGTTACTGAGGCTGAGGTTGGGAAAGATACTTAAGCCAAAGTAGGAACTTTTCAAAGAGTTCAGTGCTGCCTGAGCAGAGGGGTCATCTGATGCTGTGTAAAGTTCACCCTTGATCTTTTAAGAGGTAACTTTAGAAGTCTTTTTTGGCTGAAAACTGTCTCTTTCCAGATGGTGCCTTACACACCTAATGACCCTAGACAACCGGATCTGGTGTCCCCTTGTGCTGCCTTTGTTTCATGTATACTTCAAACTCCAGATTGCTTGTAAATCGTTAGCTTCAAGTTGCACTTGATGTCAAGGAGCTTTCTGGTTTCATTTAGAATATGTACAGGGGGATTTGTTGTTCCAGTCTTTGAAGCTGAATGAGTGCAGTTTGACCTTCCACACCATGTAAAACCAGAACATCTGAAAGCTTAAGGCTCCTATAGGAAACATTCACAGGAGAGAAAAGAAATCCTTTGTTTCTTCCCATGATTCATAATTTGATGCGCAGACATTCTTTGACCATGCCAAATTCATTTGTCCTGAAGACAGGCAGATGGCTACATATAGATAAAGACATTAATGAATATCTTATGTATAGTGTCAATGAATATATGGTTACACTTGGGTTTTTCCATTGTGAAACATTTTCAATCAAGGTCTATTAAACACTTGCTGTATGACAGACATTTTGGATTCGTCCTGGAGATTCAGTGTTGAAAAAGCAGAAATGTCCAAATGCATTTTCCATAATTGTTTCTCCCAAATCACATCTTTATCAAAAGTACTGAAAATTTCTGGACTCTAGATTCTCCTTTATGTCTATGTACAAATTTATGTTTCTAATATGAGGTTTTTATGAACATGCACTTTATATATAGAAAAGTGCACAAATCAAGAATACAGCTTGGAGAATTTTTACCAGGTAAACATATTCGTGAAACAAGCAGCCAGACGAAACAGCAGAATGTTACAATCCCCTGGGATCTTATTTTTCCCTTTTTAGCCTCCCTTCTTAGCCTTCCAGTTAACCTTCTCAAAGACTTTGCCTGCCTTCTGACATCAGGTGCGAATTTTGCCTTGTTCTGAATTTCATAGGTATGGAATATGCTCAATTTTATGCTTATATGATGTCTCTGAGTTGTTGTATATGGTTAGGTTTATTTATTATCCTTACTAGTCTACTGTTAAATTGTATTATAATCCATTTATCTAGTTTGTTGTTACATATTTGTGGAAAGCAGTCCTGATGTTGGTATTTCCTGGTTGGTGCTATTAAGATTCCTGTATGAACATTTCTACTGAGAATACACTTTTGAGTGGGATTGTTAGGTCAAAAGTTACACATGTATTCATCTGGGCTCCATGTCAACAAGTATTTTTCCTAAGTGTTTGCACTAAATTATAGTCCCAGCAGCTGTATATGAAACCTGCCAGTCACTATACATTTTTGCCAATCTCAGCAGTATATTCTTCATTTTCATGTTCATTTTTCAGTAAAAAAGTTAAAATCCAAAGTCACTAGGACTTCATGTGAGCAATGACGCATCATAAAGTTTATAGCAAGTATTAATCCCTTAAACTTTCATCTGTACCTATTGGCATCCTATTGAATTATCAACTCTGTTGAGCTGTTAATGAAATCAAAACCACTGTTTATACTAGAAAACTTGAAGATGTTTGCTTTACTTTGGGGTTGAGTTTTTGTTAAACCAGCAGTGGCTGACCAGTTTCTCCCAATCTCCACCCGCAAAAGGTTCTAATGAGGAAATGTAATATACATTTCCCTTGTTTGGATTTCAAACTGCAATTGGTTTTGTCAAATCCTGTGGAATAAATATGCAGTTGGGTATGAGATGACTTTCCATATCACCTGTAAGGCTAAACGTGACAAAATTGGGACAGTTATAGGCCAATAGGAACCACAGTGCTGGGCCTTTGGAGCTGTAGGGAGATAAATGCAATATTGAAATTAGCTTGCCAATCATATTGTAGAGCCAGGAGGAAGTGTAAATATAATGGGTCCAGGCCCACTCCTACTATAGAAAGGCTCAGCTGAAGGAAGAAATCTTACCCTGGGACCAAGGAAATGACCTAGCAGATAAAGGTGCTTGCCATGCACACCTGGCAACTTGAGTTTGGACCTCCAGAATCCATACAAAAGCCAGCCACTGTAGCACATGGCAGTCAGCCTAGCATTTTTGTGCTAAGATGAGAGGTGGACCCAAGAATGGCCTGGAAGCTTGAGGGCCAGCTAGCCTGGAGGATCCAGAGCAGTGGCAAGCAAGAGAGATCCTTCCTTAAGCAAGGTGGAAGATGAGGACCACTACCAAGGTTGTCCTCTGATCTCTTCACACATGCTATGACAAGCACGTGCCCTCAGACATGAAAACACATACACACACACACACACACACACACACAAACACACACACACACAGAACATTCATACACAATAAATATTTTTAAAGAAACTTATTCTTAGAAAACTGTTGATGATATCGTTTTCTTTTTCAGTCTAAAGTTTACACACGCACACCCACCTTATATCTGGACTTCAAGTTGGACCAAGGAGCAAAGCATTCCCAGCCTATTCCTCAAGGTATGATGGGTTCTAGAATTTGGTAGCCATGTCAGAAAAAAACCAATTGAATCTAAGAACAAGAAGCAGCTTTCTTGAGAATGCAAACTTCTACATGATATTCTAGGAACTTTATGTTCAAATTAGCAAAGACTGCCTGTGAATGTTCCCATAGAATAGGTGACAAATCCAAAAGTTTGATGCTTTTCCTGACTGCTGTCTAACATAGAATTAATTGGATATTTAAAACCACGTATTTATTTGTATTTCAATGACATTGGCTGTCTATATTCAGACATACTAGGTATTGACTTATGCAGCTTGTATTTTATTATGAAGTTACTTAAATCAAGGTTAACTCTTCTGGTTTTTGTCACCATTTTTTCTAGGTCAAATTCCATTACAGCTCCAAGAACTGTCTAAATTCATTTTATTTGGATGCTTTATTGCATCAAATATTCCTTGAAATGTGTGGCCCATTGGCTGTGTCCCAGACATGTTTAGTTTATCATATTTGATGGTGTTGTTACTCATGGTAAAGTGATTTGATGTGGATGTCTGGGTTGTGTTTGGCTTCTGGCATAACCACTCTAATTTACTGTTGACTTGGTTGTGTTATTACCAGACTAATTGGACAGAAATGGAAGCACACATTGCTACCATCCCACTTCTGATACCAAGAAAATGCCTGTGCCCTAAGGGAAACACAGTTAAGGGAGAGCCTGGATACATTCTTCCTGAACCTTATCAGGTTTTATCTGAATGATTTCCCATAAATAGCATTAGAATCAATTTTTAGCATCTCTTTCTTTCCTTTGGGCTAGGCATGTTTCAGTTGGGTTGTGCTAGTCTCGCAGAAAACAGATGTTTCATGCAGTGGTGATTTGGAAGATGGTTGATATCAGGAATTGAGCCTGACGATGCATCATTTACAAAGAATCCAATCCGTTCACTTTCTGACAGTACTAGATTTCTTTTGCATTGGCCACACATTTTTCTGATTAGCTCTTGGCTAGAACAAGAATAAGTAGGGTCCATTTTCTTTTTTTGCCTAGTGACTTTTAGCATCTCTTGCAAGGCAATCTGATTTTCATTGCTGTAAATTGATGTGCCGACAGTATTGTTAGCATTCATCATGAAGGACATAAATTTGAAGTTATAGGAAAATATTAATCTTTTCCAAGAAACATATACCTTCTGATGTTCAGGACCCCTTTGTATACTGACTATTTTCTCCGTCTTTCTACATAGCATCTCTGCTTCTGGGTACTTTAAAGCATGGTTTGGAGTGTTAATTATGGAAAGCTGTTAGGGTGCGGGAAAGTTTTCAATCAGTGAACCTTTTCTTTCTTTTATAATTTTCTTTATGGTGTAGATAAATTTTTAACAAAACTATCATCAGACAATGTATAGTACCACTCTAGTAGGCAGAATACTACCCTCCCTCCCTCGGGATGTACTAACTTCCAGGACCTGAAACTGTGATATGGCAAAGGGGACTTCACAGCTATGTATGGTGGAGCTCGCTTATAATTCCAGATCTCAGGAAGTGTAGGCAAATTAAAGGTCATCTTTGGCTACATAGAAAATTGGAGGGCAGGATAGGCTACATGAGACCCTGTGTAAAAATGATAGAAAAAAAGTGCCGTGTGTGTTAATGTAGACCTGTAATCATGGTAGTCAGGAAGTAGACACAGTAGCAGGAGGATCAGAAGTTTGAGGGCATCTCACCTACATGGTAAATGCAACACCAGTCTGAGCTACTTGAGACTCTGCCTAAAAGAAAGGAGGCCAACTTTGCAGGCTTGAGTGAATTAAGGCTCTTGAGATGGAGTGTTCTGTGGTTTTAACCAGTGTAGTGAAAACTTGATCCTCAGCCTGTGTTGCTACTGGAGGGAAAGGTTGTGGCTGGGGGAGGTTAGATCTTTGGGATGTGCCCCTAAAGAGAGTACAGAGGCCCTGTATTCTCCTCTTTCATTTTTTCTTTTTGGCTGCTATGAATCAAGAAGCTATCTCTGCTTGCCACGTTGCCCTACCTCATATAAGCCCAGGAGCAACATGGCCAACTGGTCATGGACTGAGACCGCTACAGCATGAACCAAAGTCAACTTTCCTCTTTTTCAGCTGATTGCCTTAGGTACTGCTCCAGGAACGGAGCCCAACTAATGATGAGAGGTTAGTCTGGGCATGCTGTCGTCATCAGAGTCTATATAAATAAAAGAAGATATCAGGGAAGTCAGAGTAAAAGGAGCTATTACATGGAAGCAGACTGATGTCAGTATGATTCTTGCAGTAACTGTAGGAAACTAAGATTATCATCTGAAACAATGTCACTATAAATTGGTTTCTGTGTTTGCCTTGGAATGAAGGAAAAAGGAAAAGAGCCAACTCTTTCCCATTCAATTTAAAAAGTGAATTTCAATATTTTGTATAATAAATCACATTAGGTATCTTTTGGTAATTATTTTTAATGTAGCTAATATGTTAGTATAAATTTTACTGTTGTAAATTTTTTTGTTATTAAGTTATTAAAAGTTTTCTTTTAGCGTTTCCTAATATGTTACTTTATTTCATAATGGAACACTCCATTTTTTCTTAAAGGATAACTAAATTTTGTGGCACAGAAACATTTGGCCACAGCATTTTGCTTGTTTTGTAGTGTTTGATGATGATAATGATGATAACATACACTATAAGTTGTTCAGGAAAGACATCAGATAATTCCTGTCCAAAGTCTCTAGTAACTCACTTCATTTTTCATAGTTTGGATTGTGCTTTGAAAATCTTAGTAGAAATACTAAATATTAACACCAGACTATATAGTTTATCTTTAGGTGAATCTTATTGTACAAGTTACCTATTAGCTGTATAACAAACCAACCTGGAGCTTAATGCTTTAAGACAATTTGTTTTATCTCATATCATGGTTGTGTCCTTCGGCCTAGGCACTATTACAATGCTATATCGAAGATGTCATTCAATATCTTTGTCATCCTTAGCTATATTGGGAAGGAGACACTTCCAAACTCACTCATGTGATTGTTGGCAGGAGTCTCTGTCCTTTGTCACATGGACCTCATCATAGGATGGTTCACATGACTTCTGACTTCATCAAAGCATGCATGTGAGAGAGCAAAAGAGAATGAACAATACCAGAAGCAATGCCCTGTCATTTTTACTGTACTATCCAGAAGTAAGCCACCAGGTGCTGGTCACACTCAGAAAGATGGGTTTGCCTTGTTATTATTAATATGAAAACAGGAGAAAACAGGAATCATGGGATCATCATATAGTTCACCACTGTGTTGCTTTTGTTTAACTATCAACGTACAACAACCTGAGATCCCTGGGAAGAGAAGCTCAGTGACAAATTTTCTAGATCAGGCTGATCTGTGGGCACGTCTGTGAGGGATTATCTTGATTGTTAATTGAAGTGAATGTGAGCAGCACCATTTCAAGGGCTGGGCCATGAGCTCTGTCAGAACAAAAAAAAGCTAGCTCAGAGCAAGCAAGCATGTAAGCAGGCAGGCCAGCAGAATTGTAGTCATTTGTCTTTGGTCTTAACTGGGTGTGGTGAGACTAGGGTTTTAAGTTCTTGTCTTTGTAACATCCCTGAAATGATGGACTATAACCTGGAATTATAAGCCATGTAAACCTTTTCTTCTCCAAATTGCTTTTGGTTAGGATATTTAATCACAGCAACAAAAATTAAATTAGAACAGTCATACTATATGTTCTGCTTCTGTGTGTAACCGAGTTTTCATATGGCTGTTGACGGAACCATGTGTAGTGATTCCTACTCCCTCTAATTTGTGTCTTTTTTCCATACTGAGGCTGGAATCCAGAACCTCATGAATGATAGACAAATGTTTACCACCAAACCACACGCTAAGCTCATTATGATGTTTTCAATGATTTGAAAAAGCCTAGAGGGGCTGGAGAGATGGCTCAGAGGTTAAGAGCACTGCTTGCTCTTCCAGAGGTCCTGAGTTCAATTCCCAGCAACCACATGGTGGCTCACAACCATCTACAATTCAATCTGGTCTCCTCTTCTGGCATGTAAACAGAACATTGTATATGTAATAAATAAATAAATCTTTAAAAAAAAGCCTAGAGAAACACATGATAGAGGTGTGTCTCAGAGTTCTTGGCTTGTCTTCTTACAGTGTATCTGTTGTTATGGAGGATCCTCAAACATGAATAATACGTGTAGAACTGTACATTGGAAGTGTGATTTTTTTTGTTCACTATATCAGATACTCAGCTTATCCTGTAACATGTCTGTAAGGATTGCCTTGGTTTGTTATTGTAATGAATTAAGCAAATTAAGTATTCTAACTCACTGCTACTAAGAAGAGAGATTGGCAAAGTGGTTAGTAGTAGCGCATTAGAATACTTGATCTTAGTGTCCCTTCAAGTTATGATATACATTTAACACTTATGGATATAAATCAATTATTCTTCCAAGCATTGATAAACATGGATCTGAGGCAGTTGTAAACTTAGCAAGAAATTGTATATTATTTTACTTTGGGTGAGCTGTATATCCTTTGCATATTGATTTGTAGCAACTCTGTATGCTCTGAGTTCTAGTCATCATCATTTGCATTATAGATATCTTTTCCTTTCTACCTCTCATTTTTATGTACTGTTACTGTACTGTAATAAATAAAAAACTTTCTTGAGTTTACAGATCTGCTCCTTAATGGTTAGTGCACTTTGTGGTTTCTTTAATCATCATCCCCAAACCCAAGGTCATGAAAATGTTCTCTAAGTTACCAGGTGTTTTGTTGCTTGTCTTTTGTGTTGGTGTGTTTACTTTTCTGGTATTAGTTTTCTTTTTAATTTTTTTCTTTGCAGTGGTATGGTTGTACCCCAGAGACATATGTCTGCTCTACCACTGAGCCATATCCCCAGCCCTCTTTTTAAAATTATTTTCAATTGGCCAGTAAATTAGTGTTACTTCTTCATGTGCAACATGGTGTTTTAAAGTACAGATACACGGTATACTCGCTAAACCT